GTAGCCTACTGAGAGTCTGAGAGTAGCCGAGCCTTGTGAATGATTGTGTCATGATCATGGCAGGCCTCACAGTGTTTACTTCTTGAATGGGGATTGTAAAGTGACTGATCCTCTCCCGGTTTTGGGAAGCCCTATGTTCGTTATGGTGTGATAAAAGCATTTCTGTAAACTGTATTGGATTTACAAACGTAAAAGACCTTCAACATGGAGCCGTACACAGACTTCGTAAACGATTCAAACATGAACTTTGATGACTTCCTTCACTTTGAAGTCGAAGATGATGAAAATCTTCAGGATATGAGCTCGATCACTCAGGTTTGTGTTGATCACGATGAAGATGAACCTCCCGATGATGGCCAAATTCATGTGTCTGAGGGAGTATGCAATAAAGAACAAGGTGGCTGTAGCAGTTCTTCCCGTGATGATAACTCGGACTTCGAAGCAAGATACACGCAGGAAGAAGGTGTAAAGATGGAACACACAATCACAAGTGATAATGGTGATGGGTAAGTTTTTTCGAAGTGTATTTTACAGAACCAGTAGGGCCTAACCGGGAACAATTTTATTATCACGAAGTATACAGACCGGGTAGAGGAAGTCTTTTGTGATTTCAGAAAGTTTCAGCGCCCAGACCCAGTAGAGAGAGAGAGAGAGTGTGTGTGAGACTGAGAAACAGGTGGAATTGCTAGCGAATTCACATGCCCCAAAATTGACAGGAGGGAACGAGAGAAAGATAGAGTGAGAAAGTAGGAGGGGGAGAAAGAAAGACAAACAATCCAAGAGAAAGAGAAGGCGAGCAATAGCCTACAGAAAGAGAGAGAGAGAGAGAGAGAGAGAGGGGAGGCAGGCAGAAAAATGGGGAGAGAGACAGAAATAGAGAGGGTGACTGCTTGATTGAAATTTGACATTGTTCATTGTTCTTTTCTTCAAATTGTCTTATTGATTCCTCCAACTCCAAAACAGGAAAAACGATCGTTTATCAAACGGAGTGTCTTCGTACACGGCACGGTAACCGGGCGCATAGCCTCACCCGCCCGGAAGTTCTCGCAAGATCAACTCCTCCCCTCTTCTCTCTCTCTCTGTCTCTTTCTGAATACTGTCTATCGGTGTGGACGATCAAATTGACCAAAACAAAGTTAAAAAATGATGTTAAAACACAAAAGTAAATTAACTCTCTCGAGTTCACGCCCTTGTATATCGACCGATATCGGTCGATGGCCGGTGGGCCCAGAGCGAAGCCGGCTGTCGCTATAAAAATTCGCCTAGAGTCTGCTATGTGGTTTATTTCGGTAAAGGAATGGCTAAACTTTTATAAATACACAATTTGTAACTCCTTTTTCGAAAGAGTTAGCCGTTAGAGGTGCCCGGATAATGACCTCAATTTCCCGACCACTTTCGTTTCCTTCGCCTCCATTTTGTAAACAAAGAACAGCTGCGCGACTGTCTTCACAAAAAACGAACAAGTTTTCAAGTAAAATGTCCGATTCTGACCCCGATTATGGTCTGGATGACTCATTTAGTGAGTTTTCTATCGATGACAGAGACTCTGAATCAGATAAAGAGTCTGACAATGACGTAGCAAGTCCTCAACCAGGACCAAGTGGTGCAGCCAACGGGTAAGTGATGATTGCATTGAGCATCTATGAACAGCTAGACCTATCGAAACATAATATTGGCCCGGGGGGTACTAAAACGTGTGTTTTATTGTATAAATGATTAAAATTTTGTGTTTTCTTATGAAATTGGTTAGAATTGATAAGTTTTTCTCGCTTTTATTATTTTTTTGGCATTTTTTTTGTACCCAAGGTGCGGTTGCTAGCTGCTTGTTTACGTTCAAAATGGCGGATCCTGAGACGATTCTCTTAGTTTACAACATAATACAACTGATTGATAACGTTTGCTATCTACTGCAGTTTGTTATTATTTGTTTCAATTTAAATGTATCATCAATTTTTAATTTTTATGTGAACAAGGGAATAATTTATTTAGATCTAGATCTAGTTCTAGAGTCTATTTGACCTCAGCTCAGGTGAGTTGCGAGTTGTCATTTTTGTAAACTGAGTCTGACAAATGGAGAGTGGTATGATTGGAGTGGTGGAAAAAAAAGTCTTGCTGGACTTGTTCTAACATGCCTTGTTCCTGTGCATTTTCCGACAGGGGTGACTTCAGTGGTTCGTAACGTGATGCGGATGATGCAAGGTACCCAAGTTCAAGCCGACGCTGCGGCCAGGCCTGCATCTCGATGAGGACCGGACCAAACAAAATGCGGAAATATCTGACACCAGGTGAATTTTTCCCCTGGTCCATTTGCTTTTTTATAATCATTATTTTTTACAACAAGACTATAAAAAATCAGTAGGTATTGCTAATGCTCAGGCTTTTTTTCTCAAATAATGAAACAATTTGTATGCTTTGCTTGACTATTCATTTACTTTAGTTATAACAAGAATTTACGGACAAATTGGGATGTCTGTTATGTTCAAAATTAACTGTTGATCTGTTGAACACTGTGTGTGTGTGTGTGAGAGAGAGAGAGTTTGTGTGTGTGTGTGTGTGTGTATGTGTGTGTGCTCTTGCATGAGAGGAAGAGAGAAACGGAGGGGGGGGGGGTGGTGGGCAGAAGAGAGGGTAAAAGAATGAGCGAGACGGAGAGAAGGGTTCATCCCGCACAGATGTACTGTGTGTGTACATTTGTCTGATTGAATGGTGCATTGGTGCGAGCGTTGTATAATTTGTAATGTGTACTTTGCTGTGTTGTTGCTGAATGTTGTATGTTGATGTAGGCTACTGGTATAGCCTATATATCCACCTAAAATTTCTCTCGTGGATCCATCAAATTTATCTTAACATAAATATCTCTTATCATGGATACTTTTATCAACAATTCTTTCTTGTGTTTCTATTTTTCAACAGGTGCTTTCTTCACTCTTTCGAATGGAGGCATTTGTGTTGCAGATCTGCACATACACCTACGAGTAGGCCAACCTTGCGGCAATGAAAGAGACTCGTCCATCTCTAGCGCAGAAATTGTTTTCGTTGTTATCGTCTTGAGAAAGTGTCTAGTTTCAAATGTAACAAGTGTGGAAAAAACTTCTGTTTTAGTAGCACAAGAAACTGTCTTCTTTTAGATCATCCAGCTAATGAGTATGAGTGATGTTTTGTATTCAATGACATACTCTGAGTGGAAATATATGCACAAATGTTTTCGTCACTATTTTTCAACTCAAGTTTTAATTTTTCTTGCATCACAGTTGGTTTATAAACCTTTTAGATGATGAATTCTCTTCTTTTATTGTCAAATAATGTGATTTGAATGTTTTTGTAGAAATACCATAGCCTAATCTTGGCACAATGGGAGTAATAAGAGAATTTTGTGAAAATTCTATTTTCGGTAACAATTATCTCCAAAATACATGTAATTTTCCATGTGCCACCAAAGTGTTCATATGGGTCCTAAATTATTCATTCTTTGTCTGTCATGAGCAGAAATGGACATTCTTTTAGAATATCAATAAATTTTGGGTCAATCTGATCATACTTTTTTTTTTCCTTCTTTATGTTTGTCAGTTTCATGTAAAATTGTGTGCGCAATCTATTTTTAGTAACAGTTAAAGTAGGTCACCACTGAAAGCAGACATAAAAAAAATTAATTGTTATCATTTTACTGTATTCTACATTCAATTTCCTTTACATAGATACATAATAAGCCTGGGTATAGTACAAGACATACTCACACCAGGGCAAAGATCTGAAGAGGTTGTGAATCGACACAATTTTCTCAAAAAGTGGCGAACCCGAGAGAGTTAATTTGGTTGTCTACAAAGATGCTACGCCTATTTAACTTTTCGAATCGAGCCGAACTACGCGGGTCGCCATTTTGTTTTGCCTGGAAATTCTCGCGCTACTCCTCTCTCTCTTTCTCTCTCTCTCTCCACTGCCCACAACTGTCACAGACAAAATTGTATGCTTTTAGTAGGCTACAGTTGTAATGGAACGTTTGTTCACGGCACAGAATTCTACAATTTTTCTGTTTTATCACAATGTAGAATTTTGTGGTTTAGGGTGAATGCAAAATTTGGTGAACGCGCACCGGGTGAGAATAGCCACAAGACTCGCCTGCACTATTCTAACTCCGGGTGAGAATAGAGGTGGCCTCAGTATTTACGTACACGGTAACCGGAAGGTCCAAGAGATAGTTCACTCAGCCAAAAAGAGTGTCACTTTTATTGTTTTTCACACAAGTGGAGTAGGCCTAACTCTGTTCGCAAAGTTCGCGCTTTTTCGAAGGGGGCGCACTAGGGTCAACCGCTCAATAGTCCAGCATGTTACCCACTAGCCTAAATTTCATAACAGAGCGTCCAGTAAGCCTTTACTTTCGCTTTCGTTACCACCCAGAAATTTGTAGGTAAATGTCTGATAAACGCAACAATTATTGTAACACATGATGCAAGTTTGGCATTACAAACGTGGTGTTGCCATTTGAAAATAAATCAATATTTGTCACTATGTCGTCACTTTTAAGCAACATAAAGAAAAGAAAGTTATACAAGCGTCTTGTCGGGGTCGCCATTGTGACCGGTCAATGAACCTGCGCGCATTCTGAGTGCTTCGAAGTAGGCCTACAGGACTCACGAATGGGGGAGATTATTGATTTTTTTTAAAGGCGCACTCGGGGATAGAGGGAGGCTGAACGCAACACCAGAGGACAAAAAAACTGAAACTGGAAGCAAATATTATGTTAAATGTTAGAATTTTGATTACTATTACAGCTCTCTGCTAAGTAAAGTGTGCGTTGGTGCAGGCCTTGTGTGAAAACGGCCGAAGTGTTCGCGTTTCATTGCCATTGGATTGTGACAGTAATTTGGTAAATTAGATCTCTATATTTTAGCTTTCTGTACAAACAAGATTCGCAAATTTTCAGTATCATCTCCCTCTCCCTCTCCTCTCCCCCTCTCTCTCTCTCTCTCTCTCTCTGTGTGTTTATGTATTTTTGTGTGTGATTGTAAGTGTGGTGTGTGTAAAGATAGTATTAGTGGGTGGTTGGTGGGTGCTCTGGTGTGGTCTGCACTTTCTCTCCTATTCAAAAAATCTTTTTTCTTTCTTGTTTTTGTGTTTGACTCTCTAGTAACACTAACACCTCTAATCTTCGGCACTTATAACTTATTGTGTTGCAAGTGCTAACTCTTACGAAAACAAAAGATAGTTTTAGGTATGAACAGGGCACTTTGGCGGCAAGCGTAAATGAATGCGTGGTACCGAAGCTCGATCTGCTTTCGCTTTCGTTTCCACCCAGAAATTTGCCGGTAGCAGTCTGATTAACGCAACATTTGTAACATACAGGTTGTGCATGCAAACGCTGTGTCGCCATGAAAATAAATCATTGTCCTTTGCTTTCACTTGCGGAAAAAAAAAGAAAGCTATACAGGCGTCTTGTCGGGCTCGACATCGTGACCAGTCAGTGAGCCTCTGTACCTTCGCATCACATTGTGAGTACCAGTGATCGTTGGGGTCACCAAAGTTCATTCAAAGTGTGCGCTGTGCGAAGTATAGGGCTCCGGAATGGGGGGGGATTATCGATTTTTTAAAAAGGTACAGTCGGGGGGAGAGACTTTTTTTTCTCTCTCTCTCTCTCTCTCTCTCTCTCTCTCTCTCTCTCTCTCTCTCTCTCTCTCTCTTCCTCTCCCTCTCTCTGTTTTCTGAGTCTCGTTCTCTCCCTCTTGTGATATTATTACATGTTTTGTAAACATCTATATTTTAGCTTTCTGTTCCAGATTCGTAGGTTTTCAGTGTCACTGCATTTTGCTCTCCCTTAGGAAAGATGACAGGGGGTAGATTGGGATCACATTCCGCCCA